GCTACATGCCCCCATCTTAAAATCATGACATAAGAAAGATAAATTGTATAAGGGTTCAAATAGTTCTTTTAACGCTTTCGTTAGTGAACAGAATACGTTTCTTGTGGTTGCATTACGTTTCGGAAAAAAAGTTCTGTTTTTCTTCTTAGCATTGCAAAGTGCTTGACGTTATTTAATTGAAAAGCGCCAAACTTGCTGAAGACGTGACGTTCTTACCTTATGACGCTTAAATGATGTCATATTAGGAACGTTATTTTAAAAAAAATAAACGTGATTACTATATATCTTATTATGTCATTAATTATCCATTGAAAATACAAGATTTTATAACAATTGACTTAAAATGTTATTTGGTACTGAAATTGTGCCGTTTCTGGACAGTGTTTTGTAAAACGGCCCGCACTAAGAGGGTTAAAGTCCAAAGCCGTTCATATGAATCTGATTTGCTATCGAGCAATTAAGACTGGGTTTTTTCCAATTAATACTTACACCTTTGATTGTAATTATTTGAAAATCATGACAGTTTATAATCATACTGACTCTTACTTGCCTATGGAAAGAATTGGAGCAATACCATTTCAAAAAAGTGTGGGAATCAACTTAGATATATTAACACACATGTTGACCTAAATTTCATAGAACAAAAACTTCAAGCATAAGATAATAATCTAATACTTTCAAAATTGTTAGCAACTGATTCAATTGATGTAAAAATACTTTTTCAATTTACATAAATAGTAAATCATTATAAATTTTGATTTACAAAGGAACAATATGCAAGTGTATATCTAAAATAAAAGGGTTGTTCGACCAATCTTTTCTTAATCTATGGGCAAATAACATGTCAAAAGTTGGCAGTTGATGATTAAAATGGTGTAGAAAGTTTCTGCAAGTCATAAAAACACATGATTAGTTTCATGATATGTCTTCAACTTGGTATTCTGCACCATCTCCAAAAACAGAGTGATCGCATAGATCCAGCATGGCTGAATCAAAAATCAACCATAATCCCTCCCGTTAGGGGTTTAGTATCATGCCATCATAAATTATACAAGAAGAACATAACCCGTATCAAATCTATAAGTTTTAAAATTACGTATGCTATATTTCATCAAAACACTCCTAATATTGATGATTTGATTGTAGATTTGCAAAAATATTTTCCCCAATTGTTTAGTTGGTGATGCAAACTGCTATGGGAATTATTTGTAATGGACTGGAAATACTATAAAACATAAGTTACAGTAACAATGACAGCCATGTTTAATATAGTTGGCTTCAACCAATTATTCTTAATGTTATCATAAAGGTATCACCTACCCGAAGTTGAATGGCAATAGTCCTTTTACGGGATATTTTTGAATATTGATTTTCTCGAAATTTTCGTGTTTTAGTATTTCTTTTCAATGTGAAGTTAACTTCTATCTCACCTACCAATCAAAACACGTGATTGCAAATGTTAGAATGTCTCACCGATTCAAATAGTATACTGACACGTGATAAATGTCCTACTACATTTTATTAAAATAATCAATTATTCGTGTAACCATATTCAGACGAACAAATAAAAATAAGATGTGAATAATCACAGATTAATGTTTGAATTGCGCCACTTAAAAACAAGGAAGGCTTCCTTAAAAGCGACAGCCAGAGGAAAGCCAATATTTTGAATGCACAGTTTTGCTCGGTTTTCACCGAGGTTTTTTTTTTTTTTTTTTTTTTTTTCTTTTTTTTTTCTTTTCTTTTTTTTTCTCTTTTTTTTTTCTCTTTCTTTTTTGATTTTTTTCTTTATTTTTTTTTTCTTCTTTTTTTTTTTTTATTGGTTTTCACCGAGGTAGATGGCAGCACCATTCCTAATAAAGGCCCTAGTAACGTCAACACGATGAATTACATCACAGTTACTGAGAATAAAATGCTCCGCTGGGCGCAGCTTGATACGACAGCAAAGGTCGAACCCTGAACAGTTGGGGCAAGTATGGACACAACATTCAAACTTGATACAGCACTGAATTTGGATTGTGATTAAATATTTGACACAGCATAGGTTTCTGACACAGAATGAATGTGGTCTAAGAACTCATAAGAAAACCATATCATTATTATTTGCTGTTATATATAAATCAGAAATAACCAATTTAAAACGGAAAATTTTAAAGAAAAAAAAAAGGAACAAAAATCCCTCCCCCAAATTTTTGAAACTTCTTATGATTCATCACCCCCAAACTCAATTCCAGCCTTCCCTTTGTGGTATGGTACCTTGCAGTACAATTTCAGAGAGATCCATACACTTGAACATAAGTTATTGTCTGGAAACTAGAAAAATGCTTGTTTTTAGGCCCCTTTTTGGCCCCAAATTCCTAAACGTTTAGGGCAATTACCCCCAAACTCAAACCCAGCTTTCCCTTTGTGATACGGAATCTTGTAGTACAATTTCATTAAGATCTATACACTTACGCACAAGTTATTGTCATGAAACTAGAAAAATGCTTGTTTTTTTCCCTTTTTTGGCCCCCAATTCCTAAAATTTTGAGGCAATTATCCCAAAATCAATCCCAGCCTTCCCTTTGTGGTATGGTACCTTGCAGTACAATTTCAGAGAGATCTATACACTTGAACACAAGTTATTGTCTGGAAACTAGAAAAATGCTTGTTTTTTTGCCCCTAATTCCTAAAATTTTGAGGCAATTACCCCCCAAAATCAATCCCAGCATTCCCTGTGATATGGAACCTTGTGGTACAATGTCAGAGAGATCCATACACTAACACACAAGTTATGTCTGAAAGTTACAAAAATGCTTATTTTTGGCCCCTAATTCCTTAACTGTTGGTACAATAACCCCCAAAATCAATCCCAACATTCCTTTTGTGGTATTGAACATTATGGTTAAATTTCATAGAGATCCATTCCCTTAAACTAAAGTTAGAGTGCGAAAACCAATGTGTCTTCGGACGACGACGCCGCCAACGTTATACCAATATACAACCAAAAATTTTTTTTTGCGGTCGTATAAAAATGTATGTATAACATTAACTGTACCAATTTTTCTGCACCAGATGCCCACTTCGACAATAAATGTCTCTTCAGTGATGCTCGAGGTCAAAATATTTGAAAATCCAAAGCTTATAAAAATATGAAGAATTTATAAACCAAAAATGTCAAAAAAGTAAAGCTAAAGTCGGGCAAGGAATCAGAGCTTTGCGTGAGGGAGATTTAGAACAGTTTAAAATATATTGCAACAGCAAATTTTAATTACATAAAATCCGTATTTTCAAGTCCTGGCTGCTGGGCTGGTGATACCCTCGGGACTAACAGTCCACCAGCCGAGGTATCGACTCAGTGGTTGTAATAACATTAACGGTACTAATTTTTCTGCACCAGATGCGCATTTCGCAAACTGCTAAAAAAAATCTAGACACCAACAAAGCAGCAGGACCAGATGAAATACCAACCAAACTACTGCAAATAGCAGCTGCAGAACTATCACCAGTACTATCAAGAAATTTTTCGTTTCCACTTGACACCGGCGAATTTCCACAAGATTGGAGAGATACAAGAAAGGAATTACTCACTTGGCAGCTAATTGCCGCCCAATTTCCGTTAATTAATAACTTGTAAGCTATTAAGAGCATATAAATCACACGGTGAGCCCGTGGTAAAATCACGATAAATTCAAGCCCCCATGAATTATTTCTTAAGTAACTGAAAGATGAATGAACACGAGGTCAAGGATGATCGCTTTATTCCAGAAAGAATACAAACAATACTATGTGTATAGTCGTCAATTGAATAGGTGGTAATTGTAATATATGGTTAGCTTCATTCCTACCAAACACCAAGGGGTATGTTGTAAACTCTGTGGTCCCACAAGGCAGAGTATTGGAACCTCTACTCACTACTGTCAGGTCAACGACTTGACCAAAAGTATTAAATCAAAAGTAAGACTTATTGCAGATCAGGAAGTTAAAACAACCCCTTATCTAGGTCTCAAAATATCAGTTGACCTATACTTTGATTAGCCAGTCCTTCCAGACTATTGCACATCTCTTTTTGTACCCTTTAACCAAGAATATTGAACAAGATCAAGAGCACACTAAGAGATCAGCATGTTTCTGCTTGCATAATTATAATTCGAAGGGAATATAATGTGTCACACAAATGCTATCCGAACTTTGAATTATAACCTCTCCAGGAACGAAGTAAACACTAAAAGCAGATTATGTTGAGGGACTGATGCCACACATTGCATCTACTAACACTGACAAGGAATAAACGCCAAATAAAAGCAAAATCACTATAGTGAAATTCTCTACTTCAATATCGTGGAGACAATTTGCCAATAACATGTCTTATAAACTTATTGAGTGTAATCCAAAGATTACGAAAAGCATTAGTGGATTGGTACCATCTAAGTGACTATATAGATGCCAATACCTTTTCAAATATTATTATATATTACAATTTTGAAACTCCATCACTTCCCCATCACATTGCAGTGTCTCCCATTTTGAGAAGAGAAGACAAGACAGAAAGTTTTCATTGTTCTTTAATCTCCTAATAATTAACCTCTATTGTTGCTATTATGATCCTATAACTGCCAAAACATTTCAATAAAATTTAACACCATGATAACACAGGTCTGTGAAATGCAAGAAAAAAATAGTTTAAGAATTTTATACAAATTCAATCTTGCATAGATGCTAACCTATTTCTTCATATAATCTCCATGCAAGTTTTGATATAATTAATTCACTAATGATATAAATGCTGATTTAGAAAATCAAAATTTAATGAAATTTCAAGTTATTCATGGAAAACAACCTTAAAGCAAAAAGTTAATACATGATTGATGGATGCATGCTGTAAAATCATAACAACAAGAATACAAGTCCTGAAGACATTATGTCCCCTGTGTGAATATCAATATTCACAAACCACTACTAACTTCTCAATTTAACTTCCTTTTCATCAATGCAAATCATAGAATAAAGCACACAATAAAAAGCTTTTGTAATTTTTAATTCATTTGCTTATAGAGACATGATATATGAAATTGATAATTGTGAAATGACAATGATATAATGTAGAAGCAATGAATTGAGTGCCAGGTCAAAAATTAGGTTACGATTGAAGCCTGATTCACAAAATACATCTAAAAATGTTACAACAGGTAAAATGTATCAATTTTACCTATATGGTTATACTTTGCAGGTTTTTCACTGCAAGGAACTGACAAAATCAATTTAGCAGTGAGCTTTAAATCATTACCCGAATTTTGAAGATCATCAGGATCAATGGTTGTTGGTCAGAGATTTCCATATTGCAGAGTGTTTCCTGACAAAAGGTATTTAAAAAAACTACTCACATTTATGTTTAAACTAAAGCAAATATCATAATATATATATAATGATACAGATCTACATTGGCACATCAATAACCCAGTTCCTTTCCTTCAATCTGCTACCAATACACTCGGGATTTCTCTAGTACATGTACATGCAATTTGTTCAAAGATATAACACAAATACTGACATATTCAAACTAAGTAAATAAACAAGTATGATTATATAACACAGTTACGGTACTATTTTCAATACTACAGTACATACATACTGTGAAGTCATTGTCATTTTAATGTCATGTCATTTAAGTATATGCACTGAATCAAAATAATGTTGAACAGGGGATCCAAAACATGAACTCCTGAATGACTGTTTTTATCACAAACCCCTGTCACATCTCCTTTTACTTCCAGATCAAATTCAGGAATTTCTTGCATAACTCATAATATTCATTTAATATATAACGCAACACTGTGAAGTTTCAATACAACTGACTGACAGGTTCCAATAAGTGCCCTTCAAGACCAGTAAATAAGTTTAGGGTCAGAAAAAAATTGTCAGCAATCACCCTTTTGAACAGGAAGGCAAGAAATTTTAACTGGTCTTTAGAGCGAATTCAAAGCAACTCCTTGTTTGGACTCTTGGACTGACATATATGCAACCAACTGGTTAATTTCGATCATGATATTCACAAAATAAGAGCGCTTTGTCTTCTAACACAACCTTTGAAAGTTATACATACATTTACAAGAAAATCCATACACAAGCAAAATATATTATTTCAGTGCTGACATAAAAGATAAAATAATTTTTTTTTCATAGCTTTTTCATTGTTTCATAAAACAAGAACTGTTGATGTAAAAAAAATTAAGAGTATACAATATTAAAAATATTCTAGTTTTTGTTTCTACAGTTGAGCTGGTGATCTGGCTCTTTGTATTGATGTTCAAACACACATTCCAGTAACTTTTGTTCCTGCTCAACAAGAACACAAAGGGACCACGCAGAGTTCGGCACGGCCATGATTTTATCAGCCGTAGGTTCACTTCATACTGTTTATCTCATTTTATAGACCATTGACTCCTTCATTGCTGAGATTTCTCCCTTGAAGTCAACATCTATTTCAAAATCAAGATCTCTCTGAAAAATACAAAATATTCTTGAGCTAAAAATAATTTAAATATATATAAAATTTAATGTGTGTTAAATGTTAACAGTATTTGTTGAACAATTTAATACAAATGAATATTTTCCATAGCAGGAAGTATTCAAGTGCGTTTAATATTCTAAAAAGGATAACATCAAAGACCTTTCATGCAATAACCATTTTGTGGGGTTTTTTTTTTTGGTAACTGTGTTAAAGGAAAAAGAACATGACTCAATAGAAAGACTGTACAATACAGAAAAAAGTACACGAAAATGAACAAATCCAATAAAAAATAAAAGAAAAATGTGTCGGGGGACACGAATGCCCCTGCTCAAGCTTGCTTATAATAAGTGAAAATACTTTTGGGACAGACGGACAAACTGACAGAAAGACTGTCAAGGGTAACACTTAATGCTCCCGTCGCCACTAGGCACAGGCATTAGAAAACACAGGTATATCAAAATAAATGAGAAATGTGTCCATGGCACACAGATGATGCCCCACTCTTGCAATAAATTTGTTATAAAGAGACATAACTCAAGAACTGTAAAAGTAACACTACCCAAATTTGTATTTGATCTGAGTTTTGTGGTAATAAGCATTGTTTATAAGTTTCATAACAATTGGTTGACACAAGCTTAAGTAAGGGAACAGAAACAAAAAATTCAGCAATTTTTCCATTTGTAAAGGGGCATAACTCTAGAACAGTAAAAGTGACGCCACCGAAATTCGAACTTGATCTGTGTTTGGTGGTAATTAGCATTTTGCCTAAGTTTCATAACATTTGGTTGAGGCAAACTAAAGTTACAGAACAGAAACGAATATTTCAGCAATTTTTCCATTTGTAAAGGGCATAACTCTAGAAAGGTAAAAGTGATGCCACCAAAATTCAAACTGGATTTGTGTTTTGTGGTAATAAGAATTGTCTATAACTTGCATAACATTTTGTTGAGGCAAACTTAAGTTAGAGAGTGAAAACCAATTTTTTACTAACCACGTTATTTTTATTCGGTTTCACACTTAAAGTTCCATATAATTCTTCTCCTTTCTTAACTGTCAGATCTAACTGGTCAAAATAAAATACTGTCTGTTTCCAATGGGTATATGGTGCTTCTGGTGCTATAAAAAAACAAACCTTTTGTTACACAATCATAAAGTTGATTAACTTAATTAATCTATATTATAAATAAATTGTATATTTAGTAAAACTATTACAGTAGAATTTACATAGAACACATGATGGTTAATTGAAACTCAACCTTTCTTTTCTGATTTTAATTGCTAATCTGTTTCTGACAACTGGGCTTAGCAATTTCAAGTACACTTCTCTACAATCAGCACTATGTCTCATGACTGTATTGAGATCAGCATCATGTTCTAGATACTGACCTCACCCACAATCTGATTGTTATTATACTTCTCGTTGACGGCCATAGCTGGTATAATTATAACAGTACGGTGCTTTTGAGAAGAAAATGAATAAATAGTACATTTAAAAGAGTTTAATCATATACATCCATAGTTCACAGTAGAGCCAAGACAAAATCAAGTCACAGGAATAAAAGAAATATCTATGAGTTCAAAACCATTTTACTTACTTATTTTTAACTAAATATGCCAATATATATTACATTTTATATCGATTTACACAGAAATAATCATGAGAAGATATTAGTATTAAATTAAATGTCTGCTACGCAATGGGTAAATATGCAACTCAAATTTTAGAATAGTCCTAAAATTGATAGCTGTGCATATGATCAACATTAGTATTTTTTTAATCTACTTACAATCTATGCAGTAAAAAGAAACAGTGTACAAAGAATGAAGAGAATTCAATTCTATAGACAAATAGCATCTCTATAAGGGAGCTTCCATTTGATTTTTATGGGTGGGCTAGGATGAAAACTTTTGTCCTGCCTTTTTTTTTAGTTGTAATCTGTCCTGCCTTTTTATTTTTCACTCTTTTCGGTCCTGCCTTTATTTTTATTAGTTTATCCTGACTTTTTTTACATAAATTGTCTTCCTCCCTTTTTTTTTTTGCAAAGTTGCTCATCCTGCCTTTTTTTTTTACTCTAAACTCCTGTCCTGCCTTTTTTTTCAAATTTCATCCTAGTCCCTTTTTATATATATATTATGTGGTAGACACAATATGAACCTTTTTTCTACTAGCATCACTCTCAATCACTAATAAGTTTTTAACTGGACTTGCAGCTATGTTTTATTTTTACATTATCTACTTATTAGAAGACTTAGTAGACTTTATTTCCTGGTACTAGAATAAAGTAGATATGGGGAGTGAAAGTTAAAAATCTACTGCATTAGATAACTTATGAGTTTAAAAAGGTCTTTTTGTGGAAAATTTGATTAAATGTAAATGCTTATGCAAACGAAAATTGTTTGCTTAAATTTTTTTGTTTTTTAAACAGTGTACCAGACTGTATTGAGATGAGCCCCATGAAAAGAAACTAACCTCACCCACAATCTGATTGTTATTATACTTCTCGTTGACGGCCATAGCTGCTATAACAAGAAATGATTGTAACAGGATGCTGTTACGAAGTCTCCCAAACGAAGCTCCCATAATTCGTAATTTCCAGGGTCGCCTGACATTGGGCAACGTCCAGTGAAAATTGGTTTGGTCCAGTAAAGTTATATGCATTAGTGATGCCTGGGGACTAACCTTGTATATCATTCAAATCATCTTGGCATGACAAACCAGAATATATATGGTTTAGGGGTGGGGATCTCGACCATTTACAAGATACTAGAACATTGGGGTTGGGGAGGAACCCCTGGGGACTGGCCCTATATGTCATTCAAATGTTCATTACATGAGGAACAGGAATATATATGGTTTAGGGGTGGGGATCTCAACCATTTACAAGATATAAGAACATTGGGGGTGGGGGGAACCCCTGGGGACTGACCGTATACGTCATTCAAATGTTCGAGCCATGACAAATAGGAATATATATGGTTTAGGGGTGGGGATCTCAACCATTTACAAGATATTAGAACTTTCTCAAATGGCAGGGGGTCGGGATGACCCCTGGGGACTAACCCTGTATATCATTCAAACCATCTTAGCATGACAAACCAGAATATATATGGTTTAGGGGTGGGGATCTTGACCACTTAGAAGATATTAGAACTTTCTTAAATGGCAGGGGGTGGGGGTGACCCCTGGGGACTAACCCTGTATTACATTTGATGTGCTTTATCATGACAAACCAGAATATATATGGTTTAGGGGTGGGGATCTCGACCATTTACAAGATATTAGAACTTTCTCAAATGGCAGGGGGTCGGGATGACCCCTGGGGACTAACCCTGTATATCATTCAAACCATCTTAGCATGACAAACCAGAATATATATGGTTTAGGGGTGGGGATCTTGACCACTTAGAAGATATTAGAACTTTCTTAAATGGCAGGGGGTGGGGATGACCCCTGGGGACTAACCCTGTATTTCATTTAATGGGCTTTATCATTTAGAACATTTTCAATTAAAAAGATTGTGTCTATCACAAACGGTTTTCAATTTATAATCATTTGAAAATTTTAAAAAATAAAATCCCATAGGGTTCTTTAGTAAAACCCTCTTTTCTTTTTGCCCCTCAAAGTACCCCTTTATAAACCCCATTGCACAAACAAAACCCTGATTGCACCACTAGACATGTTAGTCTAACATATTGTGAAACCCTAAGTTAATCTGACAAGCGGTTTTGGAGAACGGGTGCGGACAAGTTCAAATTTAAAAGCGGCGGAAGAAGAAGAAGAAGAAGAAGAAGAATAATAATAATAATAAGAACTGAGCAAAAACAATAAGTCTTCCCAAACTTCATTTGGGAGACTTAATTAAAACAGTACGGTGCTTTTGAGAAGAATCTGTAATTACAGTTTTATTTTTTTTACTTTTATCTCTCCATATACCCTGCAGTTGTTATTGTTTTGAAACAGGTTTTCTGTGAATTTAGAAGCCAAATTGTGAACAGAATTTTCAACACGTACGCCATTAAAGTATTATAGATACACAAAATCCATTCTAAATATTTGGTACAAAATGTCAAACTAAGTTTTGATTCTAAAACTTCATTTAACACTGCTAAAAAACTATACCTGTTGAGAAGCCAGTTCGTTTGTGACATTTCGTAAATTCAATGTTGAAATATGTGACAAGAGCATGAATATAATCACTTCTACGGCACTGAAGGTGAAAAGGAGCTGTAAATGACAGGTCATCTAATTGTACTGTATATATGTCAACCTCCTGAAAAATTATTTGTAGAATTAGTCTAGGAAAAAACAATTCAACTTTACTTTTCTGCAGTTTTGTAGGTAAAGTCGATTACCATATACTGTAAATTCAGAAATATCTGTGTTCATTTATAATTGTAATTATTGAATAACAACACAAAAATGTGAGATTTATTAATACGATTTCAAGAAATGCTGCATACAAATACTTATTATAGTTTTTTAATTGAAGTTTTGAGTGTAGCCAATCCTGTAGTAATTTTTCCCAATAATAATACCACAACAAAAATTTCTTTTACAGTATATTGCATGCTGAAAATTTTTTTACAAAGCCTTAAAAATATTGTTTCAGACTGTATTGAGATGAGCCCCATGAAAAGACACTAACCTCACCCACAATCGGATAGTTTATGTACTTCTCGTTGACGGCAGCCATAGCTGGTATAATTTTAACAGTATGGTGCTTTAAAGAAGAATCTGCCAATGACTAATGTTAAATTAAAGACTTTTTTTTAATCCCTGTATCCTACAGTTGCAATTTAGAACAAGTAACACTTCAATGTATCCTGTGTGAAGTTACAAATAATTCAGTTTAGACACAACTCTAATGATTTATATAACTTTATATATTGAACCATTTCAAATGCTGACTTAGGATTCACTTTATAAAGAAAGTTTTATTGTTTTAGCACGCAAAATGGGCCAACTTTTGTCAATCTAAATTGGTCCACCCTTTTTATTTGCATATCTTCTATAAAAACTGAACTGTCACAAAATCGTATTCCAACTTTATTGTGCCATGATAGATAAATTTTTTCACCAAAAAATACATGTCTGGAAATGGTGGAAAAAAGAGGGCCTGCATGGTGATCATAAGCATACCCCCCTTTTTTTTTTGTCGGACATATATACTTACCAATACTGAACTTAGTGTGAAGCAGACATTCCTTTAGTATAGCATTATATATCAGACTTACCTTGACCAGACAGGCATTGGTAACAACCATATTAGGGTCAACTACATCAACCAAAGGTTCGGCAATGGCAGTCTTTCTGATACAACTCATATCAAAGCCATATACGTTGTCCCACCCTGAAAATAAAGATAGAACTCATATGAGGAAAGCCACTATACAAACATAACATCAAAATGAAACTATGTGTGGTGAGAAACGTTCAGAATGTCAGCTTGATTAAAAAAAAGTCTTTTCTGCAAATAGTCATATTTAAAATAATTAGAGTTTTCAATAAGTGTATGCCTGCTTTTATCAACACAAGGGTGACCATGTGTCTCTTCTGCTTTACTGATCAACAGTGAAGTTTATGCTGACAGTCTTTCAAGATTCAAATTTTACTGCAGGCAACTACGCCATTAGGTCTCTGGCGGATAGTCACCTCATTGGCAATCACACCACATACCACATCTCCTTAATATATTTCACATTAACTTAACATTATAATGACCCATGAAAATAATGCAACGGTCAGATGAAACCTGCCACACGAACATGTACACCTCCATGTAATAATCATTATATACATCAATTATAATTGACCTATTGGTTACAGTATCTGAGAAATTAATATCAAAAACATGTTGACCAAAACCATAAAAATGAGGTCAAGGTCAGATGAACACTTAAAATACAAACTGAAAACTTTATTTGCAATAAAATGTCTCAAGACTGTATTGAGATGAGCATCATGTTCTAGATACTGACCTCACCCACAATCTGATTGTTATTATACTTCTTGTTGACGGCCATAGCTGCTATAATTATAACAGAATGGTGCTTTTGAGAAGAAAATGAATACATATATTAGTATATTCAGTAGAGTTTAATCATATACTTCAGGAGTACAGAGATACATGTGCCAAGACAAAAAGATTTTGAAAGAAACTCTGCTAGCATTAACAAGATTGCACAGGCTTAACTGGTTATAATTGTGTTAGAAGGCTTGAAAGTTTTACTACAGGTATCACATAAACTTAACATTATCAATGATTCAAGAAAATAAGGTCAAGGTCCAATGATCTTACTGGACAGACAAGCTCACCATACAATCATTCCATACACCAAATAAAGTTGACCAATGCACCATAAAATGTGGTCAAAGTCCAATATTTGATTGATGGTTGGTGTTTAACGCCACTTTCAGCACTATTGGCTATATTGTGATGGCTAGTTTTTATTGGTGGAGGAAGCTGGAGTACCTGGAGAGAACAACTGACCTTTCGCAGGAAATGTAGTCCTAGTCAATTAAGGAGTTGAAAGCACCTGCCACATGCAGCGTTCAAACTCACAACCTCAAAGTTGACAGGCTAGTGATACAGTAGATAACTGCTAAGACCACTTGGCCACCAAGGCTCCCTCAAAGTCGAATGAATCCTGCTTAAAAACTTATCCAACTATGAAACTTAACATTGAACACAGATCCATGAATCGAGGTAATTGTTAGGTGAACCCTTTTGACAGATTTAGACATGTACACCTTATAACCATTTCATACACCATGTATAGCTGACATATTTAAGTGCTTCTAGTATCTGAGAAAATGACCATTCCATAAAAAACTTATGAAACCAATGAACCATGAAAAAGAGGTCAAGGTCAGATGAACCCTGACAGACAGACAGGTATATCTGACAATAAACCCATACATAGTTGACCTATTGCTTATAGTATCTGAAAAACAAGCAACATTGACCAATGAACCATGTAAATGAAAATAAGGTCAAGGTCAGATGATCCATTATGTGCCAGATGGACACACCACAATCATTCCATACACCAAATAAATGTGAACTTTTGCTTATAATATCTGAAATCCTAATCACAAAAACTTAACATTGACCAAAAAAACCATGGGAATTATATCAAGGTCAGATGAACATTTAAAACTCTCTGAAGACTGTGATACAATGTCTCATGACTGTATTGAGATAAGTATCATGTTCTAGATACTGACCTCACCCACAATCTGATTGTTATTATACTTCTCGTTGACGGCCATAGCTGCTATAATTAAAACAGTACGGTGCTTTTGAGAAGAAAATGAATACCTAGTATATTCATATACTTCTGGAGTTCAGAGATGTGCCAATACAAAAGGATTTTGTGAGAATACCTGCCAATATAAAAAAGAGTGCACACTCTGAAATGTCTCACCTACTTTACTGATTATAACTGAATTTAATGTTGATAGCTATAGGCTTCAATGTTTTACTTCAGTATCACTCCAACACAACATTATCAAGGACACACGGACAGACAGACACCCGGTAATTCTATGTCCCCCGCAACGTGTTACACGCAGAAAAAAACATGCAAGTTTACTATACCCTGACCAACCCTTACTTTTTTTTTTCACTGAAAATTTAGCAAATTATATTTTCAAAGGTTTTATTCTTGATAGCAATATTCTTTTTAATTAACTACTAGCTTACTAATGAAAATCGTAAACAATATAGTATTGTGTTAAAACATCTGACTGACATAAAAACTTTGGCAATAGCTGCCTTAACAGAAATATAGGTAAATGCAATAAGATATCCAATTCCTCAAATGTATAAAACCATGTCTGGGATTGAAGATCAAATAAAAAAAAAAAATAATTTGCAGACCATCCCTTCCTATTTTTTCTTCAGGTTACAGTAAACACACATATACTTTTTTGGCCTTAAAATCATTCCATACCAAAAACCAGGATTTTTTTTAGAATTGTTATACTAAGGTTATAATTGGCCTATATACCAAAGTAAGTTGTCCTATTTAGGCTTTGACTCAATTTATATACAAAAACCAGGATTATTTAGTATATTTCATGCCACTTATCAACTCGAGGTAGGAGAGTACAGATGTCATATATACTGGTATCCCTTCTCAGAAATACCCATGACTTTATTAAATGTTATACACAAAATAATGTCATGGATGTAGGAATAGAAAAATGTATGAACACGAGGCGATCTAGGATTTTGATAAAAGGGGGGCCCCATTGCAAGCCAATGCTTGGAGTGATACGTCTATGCATTTAACATATATGAAGCTTCATAAGGGGGGACTGGGCCCGTGCGATGGTACTCCAAACCATGATGGTCATGCTGAAGTGCGATGGTTTGACAATGAAGTCATTTTGATTATGCCAAAGTGCAATGGTGGCATTGTGCCTTTTTCTTGTTGATAGCTACGAATTGTGTTGGTGGTTATGCTTAAGTTCGATGGATTACATAAACTTTATTGTCAATTTTTATCATATTCACACGCCGATGAAGAAGTCAATTTGATTGTTAGAAGCAGCTTTTCAGATTTTTAAGAACATAGTCGAGAGAATGCAGCAAAATTAATGACAACATCTGACGAAGCCCATCGTACCCCAGAGTCTTACATATATACACCATACCAGTAATTTTAACCCTTTTTAAAAGTGCTTTAAATACTTCATAAAAGACAAAAGAGTTAAGCCCTTTTCAACTGATTTTTGTAGTTTGTTCTTATGTTGTGCTGTAACACCACTGTCTCAATTTAGGGAAGGGTTGAGCACTCACAAACATGTTTAACCCGCCACATTCTTTAGGTGCCTGTCCCAAGTCAGGCGCCTATAGTTCAGTGGTTGTTGTGGGTTCATATCTCTCATATATTTGTTTTTCATAAATTTTGTTATAAATTAGGCCGTTAGTTTTCTCAATTGAATTGTTTCATATTTTTCATGTCAGGCCATTTATAGCTAACTATACAGTACAGGTTTTTATTATTGTTGAAGGTTGTACAGTTGTCTATAATTGCTACATCCACTTTATTTGAACTTGGGTGGATAGTTGTATCATTGGCAATCATACCACAACTTATTTTCATAAAGCATGACTAACTTGAATGAATGTAATATTTCTGATAATCTTTTCTGAAATCCAACAGGATAATTGCTTTTAAGTACATTTTGTATTTCTATTTTATCTACAACAACTTCTGTCTCCTTGAACATACAAATTTCTCAAGCTACAGAGACATTTATTAGTATCACAAACTTAACATGTCAAGCTTCACATCAAGCAGGTTGTATGTATCCATAGCAACATATCAAGCAAGTTCTATGTACCCATAGCAACACTTACAATTGATTTTCTCATCTTTGTATTGCCTATCTTCAATGGCACATACATACAATGTAGCTCTGTCTGGGAAAATCATACCTCCTGGATTCTACGGAAACAGAAAGAAAGAGGACTGTTATAGACTTACAGTTAATTTTAGTATCCTTATATTGTCTGTCTTCTATTGCAGTTACGTACATAGTTGCTCTGTCCGGGAAGATCAATCCACCAGGTGTCTAACAAAATAATATAAGGTCACAAGGTCATGAAGGTAGTGGATGTAGTTTTACTGAAAGCCCTTACATTATAATGTGCAAGATTTTCAGGGAAAGCACTTTTAAAATGTTAGTACATTTGTGTTGTACATGTATATGTGAATATATCAAAACATATCTTTAACATCAAGTATACTATAAACTCAGAAATTATTTTGTGCATTTTAAATTATTAATGTAATTGTTAATTAAAGGACAAAACATGAGATTATTAAATGCAATTTCTGGAAATGGAGTTTAAAATTAGTGCTAAATAACAATTCCCATGCAAGATTTAATTTCTGTGAAGCTTAATGATATCATGTCACAATTTTAACATTTAAAAAATCCAAAAAATTTCTGAACATACAGTAAATACAAATAATAAATTTGAGTGGTTTGCTTTTCCTGGGTAATTTGTAAGTTTTAGTGACGAAACAGACATATCTCATCCTTGTCTCAAGACTGTATTGAGATAGGCATCATGTTCTAGATACTGACCTCACCCACAATCTGATTGTTATTATACTTCTCGTTGACGGCCATAGCTGGTATAATTATAACAGTATGGTGCTTTTGAGAAGAAATAATCATTTGGAATTCAGATTGGTAAACGTCAAGGAAACAATTCTATTAAAAGTAGCTCCCAGAAACAAACAATAACAAGTTACAGTATCAGCTAGTAAATAGTAAATCTACAATAAAATACATGACATATGGAACCCTTACTGGTTCATCATTGCATGGTGCAAAGATAAAGGAGTTGTTCTTGGTTAATTTACTATTTTCCTATCAATTATAAGAAGACCAATTACAGTTCAAACAATGTAGGAATCTAATGATATAATTTGCTCATGCAATTGTTTAAAAAAATGCCATGAACAACAATAATCTAAAGATATATGAAATTGTTTTGGTTAAGTCAATTTTTTAACAGTTCTAAAGTATTTGTGTTTCAAGTGCATTTTCTTAATTCAAGAATTTGGTTTTCTTTATTCCCCAAATGTCATAAATGTAAAATGCACATATGAAATTGCAGTTATTTATAATAAGGACAGTAATCAAAGGAATTTACATTTAAAAAGACAGCCATGCTGTCCATTTAACTCTGTACATTTGTACAATTTTAACACCTTATACCATTTTAAATGTTTACAGCATGACCATTACATCAAATTGGCTCAATCCTACTTTAGTCAGGTGAACTTAGTTATATTTATTCATTCCTGCTTAAAAAAAATAATTTTGTTTCTGACAGTGAATTCTTAACAGAATGAATGCTCTTTTGAGCTTGTGACCTGTAGGGCTAGTTGAACCAGGATATTCTCTATTTAAAAGTTTTACATATTTCATTCTTGTCTCAGACTGTATTGAGATAGGCATCATGTTCTAGATACTGACCTCACCCACAATCTGATTGTTATTATACTTCTCGTTGACGGCCATAGCTGCTATAATTAAAACAGTACGGTGCTTTTGAGAAGAAATAATTATTTGGATTTCAGATTGGTAAACGTCCTGAACAACCAAGACCAGACCTACATTGTATCTAACAAGAGTATTACTTTTCACCGAAAAGTCTCTATGGCAAAGATGACAGTGATTAAAAATAAATTCTTACCAGCCATTTGTCCCTGGCAAAGATGACAGTGTTTAACATAGATTCATAGAAAAGACAATACCCCATCCATTCACTGATTATGATGTCTACTTTCTCTATACCATCAGGTAATGACACCTCTTCTACCTTTCCTTTGATCAGAGTTACCACTGAAAAGTATTACAATCACCATAATATAGATATGCAAACGCAACATGGTGATTTTCAGGAAACGAATAACAGGCAATTACCCATACATATATTTCAAGTGGTCATGCATTAAAAGATTTTCTAGAACAAAACCAATTTAATCATCTGTAAGGAGTTTTGCAATTTCTAATAATCCTGATATAGTACCAAGATTGAACTATATTCTGGTGAATAGATTTAATATTTTCTGTACACAGAGCATTTATTTTCTTTACTATTAATGAATACTCAAATCTTCAGCTAATGGTTAAGCATTGATATGTGGCAAAAAGTTTTCTTGTGCAGACTGTTTTCTCCAAATACACTGATTGCTTTCAATAACAGCCTATTAAGTTTAGTGCTCTGTTAAAAAAAATCTTACCATCAGAAAACTTGTTAGCATCAACAATTTTCTGTGCATACTCTATAATACCAGAGCATTCAATCTGAAACAAAATAAATTCATTTGTTAAAATACTGCATCTTCAAAAAGTAAACAATTATCCAACACTGATTATCTGTTTTGAACAGTTATCCTTCAGAAATTAAAGTGCTTGTCAGCACTAAGCGGAAAAAGATTGCTTTCATTGTGCATTATGAACTTAAACATTTCATTTATTAAGCAGATTAAGAAACATGTTAAGGCAATATTTTTCATTCAGTTATCCCCCTTTCTCCATAATTGTCAGTACACTGTAAATACTTTCTACAATTGATGTAGTTTTTAATAAAATGGTTTCTTGAAAAGTATGAAAATACAAAAACATAATTTTGTAAACTGAATATCGGAGTATATACAATAATAAATTGCTTGACATAGATATGGATAAGATCTACAGAATATTCACTTCACTATTTTGTCTCACAAAGTGTAACCTCACACCAAAAAATAGGAAGAGAAGAAGACCTTTTAAAACTAACTATGCAGTATGGCTTACGCTCATTGTTGAAGGCGGCACAATGACCTTGGTGCCCTTACCCCCGCCCTTCTGCCCTCAAAAGTAAAAGAATGCACCCCTCTGCCTTTTCAAAAAAAATATAATTTCAAAATTTTATGCCTACCGGCGTTTCCGGTAAAAATGTTACCTGATTGTGTAACACTAATTAACTGACAATGGGATTAAGTTAAATACCTAATGCTTTGGCAGTTTTATCACCTTTGTTAATGATTGTTTACTGCTAATTAGTGGATTTAAGATAATTGAACAAATACTAGATATTTAATACAGAATGAAATGTCAACATGTTATCCATTTGTAATGTTTATGTACAGCATGTACACCTGAAAAAAATTTATTTCAGAAGGCATAGCATAAAAAGTAAAATCTTAAACAATTTTAAATGCATACATAGTTTTGACTTAATTGGTAAAAAAATGTTTTGTTTCATAACGATGAGTATGAAATTTAAAGAGGAATCAAAGAAATTTGTACTTTGAACATAACAAGATTCACTTCCTGTTTTTAATACTTCTTGTATTTTATAATCCTCCTGACATGGAGCACTCAACAAATTTATTTTTAACAATGATGGAGAAAAAAGTAACTGTTTATACTTTCTGCATGTATTATTGCATCAATATAAATATGATCATCTCCTGTCTCACCTGTTATATTTATAAAACTCCTTACTGAGGAGCACTTTGGTGTGCACTTAAAAATACTTTTTTGTAACAATTTAAAAGATAATAAATAACTTTCAATAACATATATATACTATATGTTTGAACAAGTAATTTAAATGTGGATAATTTAATTACATTCAGCATTCAATTTTGCATGTATAACTCCATCTTTCAAAACTACTTGTTTATTTTGGCATGTTTGGTATAAGTTATAAAACATTGAAATTTCTGATGATTATTTTCCATACCAAATGTACAAGTTTGTTTAGATTAACATCAGAATGATATGCTTTGCTTCATGGTATGATAATTTGATGAAAAAAAATTCTTACTAACCAACATCAAGAACACATTAATTTCTGAATATGGTTTAAATACAACTAATGTTCTCCAGCTGAGCCTAGCAATATTCAAGGTAATTTATACAATGTCCAACATTGCCCTTAAAATCTGGGTTATAACGCTAAAGTGCCCTTTCAGACAACTTAAGCACCCTTCTGCCCTGAGATTCAAGCTGGAACACTGGTTCTCTTCTATATGCTGTAAAATATCATGAATCAATCGAATGCTATCACTTATATAATGCTTAATGGTCCAATATCTATTTCATAGAGATCCAAAGACCAATACTTCAGTAATTGTCCATTAACCAGGAAACCCTTGTTTTCCCCTAATTCCTAAACGGTTTGAGCCATAACCCCCCAAAGCCAATCCTAACCATCCCTTTGTGGTATGGAAACTTGTGGTATAATTTCAGAGATATCCATACACTGTTCCACAAGTTATTGTCTGGAAACTAGAAAAATACTTATTTGGGCCCCTTTTTGGACCCAATTCCTAAACTGTTGGGACCATAACCCCCAAAGTCAATCCCAACCTCCCTTTTGTGGTTTTAAACATTGTGTTTAAATTTCATAAATTTCTAATCCAAATGTCTTCGGACGACGCTGACGACGTGATACCAATATATGACCACAAAATTTTTTACGGTCTTATAAAAAATAAACCACAAATCTTATCTTGATTATTTTAAGGGCTTACTTTCATGGTAAACCACAGCTTTTATGAGTTACTGACAATCACTTAAAGGAATATCTTGTACCATGTTATTTTTTGCAGATGACTGAATTGTTTGGCAAACCCTGACAAAAGTGCTAAATGCTTCATTTATTCATACAGGTACTGACATGCTACTTAACCAACTCAGATTCTACCAGCTTTATTATTGAATAAAGACACTACGCCTTTCACAAATTCTTGTTATATCCATACATGTAGCTCATTTTATATGAATTATGGAGCTAAAACTATCTATATTTTTAACTTGTGTTCAGTCAACAAAAATCCTTTCTATGTGTACTTACACCAATGACCTTTGAAGCCCCTGCTTTAGCTGCAAACATACAGAGTATTCCAGTTCCACAGCCTACATCCAGTACTACTTTTCCACGGAACAAATGTTTGTTGTGGATCATGGAGTTTCTGTATGTCAAAGTTCTTACTTCATCTTTCAACATTTCCTGTAGGTCATAAACATACATGTATCTTAATAAAAGAAACCAATACTTTTTCTTTACAACATGCCTTGTAGCATATTTTATTCACAGACTCAACAGACACCCATGGCCAACAAAACCAAAAACAAAGGAACTGTACTTTTTTTTACTGTAAGCTTGAGTGAGCATATGTCAAGGACACTACATGCATCCCTCGCGCCCCCAGATAAGGCAGTTATTTAGTTATAACTCAAGTAATTGTAGTCACTGAGGTAGATCTGTTAATTGGGATGAACAGGCAACACAAACTTTTATATGTGTTACTGTATAAATATCTTGCAAAAGTTTTATATATGGGATTCATATCTGTTCTTGATAAATTTAAAGTTCTGAAAGTCAGTTACAGATAGTTAAGTGTGCAGTCCTGTTTGCAACCAAGTACAAAATATTCATTCCATCAGACTTCTTAAGTTAAAATATGCTCTAGATATTTGGTCCTGTCAGGTCAAAATCCGTCCTGTCTGGTGGATTTTTTATTAGTTGGTCTTACCATGTGATTAAATGTTGATTTACAGGACAGTTGTGGACTGACAGATAAACTTATTATCAGAACAATATTTCCTATATATTAAATTGGAAAAATAAGCTTACCAATACATTTTAAGAAAAATAAGAATATGAATTGCCTTTCCTGCAGATAGGTTGAAGTGTTCACGTATATGTATTATCTTGTTTGTCCTTTACACACATTTTCTCTACCTTTTTACATAAAGTAGCAATGCATTTCTTGTGTTGTGAGAAACAAATAAACAATTATAAGTACAATAAATACCTCATGGATGCCAAAATGTGCATAGGAATCAAAATAATAATCTTTTGACGTCATCTCCTCCGGTGCAACATTTCCATTTGGAGTTTTGGTTGAACCGGCCGTGTCTAAACTTGTCTGTGTGGTCTACATGTAAAATAAAATAAAAATCAAACTACATCAGTACAGAAATTTGCCTTAACAGATTTAAGGGTAGCAGCTCACAGTTTGAGACTGAAAAAAAAAAAATTTTTAATGCTAAGCCAGTTTTTCTCCCAGACAATTTCAAGATATCAGTAGTAAAACTGTATTTAGAGACAGAAAAGATACCCAATAAAACTCTCAAAAGAAGCACATTTCTCCCTGGGACATTTTAGCACCTTCACATTTTATCATAACCTTTTTGCTGGCCATCATGCTTAAAATCTCAGTTATATTTCCTCTGTGAATGTGCTATTTCAATTTCTATAAAGAACAAATAAAACTTAGCAGAGATTGCAAAGGTGCTACATGGTTCACTGAACATTCTGCCATAACAGTCCAGTATGGCAGTAAAAAAATCTCTTTAAAAAAATATCTTTTTACTGTGTTCGACCTAGGACTTAACTATTGGTCCAAAGTTTGACCATTGACCCTCCAAACATTGTCCTTTGCTAACTTTACTTTTGTTTACGCATGATAAGGAAGATAAGCAAGCAACCTTTAAAATCAAATTTTTAGAATAAAAAAACTATATCAGTGGATTTTAAAAATTTCTTTATCAACCAAGAAGAAGAATCACTTTTTTTCTCAACAGTTGTGTAGTAATACTTCATATTCTTACATAGCTGTTCCTTATGTATAATTTTATGGTTTATAGTGATAGCTTTAATTTCTCGTTTAAAAAAAAGGCCCGAGACAGATTTGAAAAGGGGGACTTCCTAAATAATTCAGAAATACATTTCAAATTTACTGAAATTTTAATCAAGTTCTCAACAACCTTGGTGCAATATGAATAAAGCACAGAGAATACCACATTTGAGAATTTCAAAAAAAAATATATGCACATAAGACACCAACAAAAATTGGTGTTTCCTACTGACCCCATGCACCAAAAATAAAGGGTTGGTAAGTCAGGATATTTTTCTCATCAATCTCATCATGAAGTTGTTCATATGTTTTTGAGTGTGCAACTGTCATGGGCGTTTGTGTAACAGGTGCATGGTTACATTTCATAAACCAAACTGCAAGCACATTCGATATGCAAGTCACCATTAATGTTCACAAAAAACGCTTTTTAGACCCAGACAATTTTGAAACATGCTAATGTAGAGCTTTTTTACCGATTACTGCCAAATTTTCTCATTTTTATTTCTCTATTTCTTTCTGAAAAAAAGTTAGGGTCATTCAGGCTACCGGAAACACATCTATTTTATTTCTAGTCCTTTATGGAAAATTTAAATTTGTAGTACTTACAGCAGTGTAATTAGACCTAAAGATTGAGGATTTGGCAGGTTGGGGATTAACTCCAAAATGGGTTATATCCTGTTTGGGATATAATTATACTGTGCAAAAAACATTCAAGGGAAATATTGCAACTGATTACATAAAAGGTAACAACTTTTGGTTAGCAACTTTTCTGAATACCAGAGTTTATCAGGATGGGAACAACCCCCCAAATAAGGTATATCCCTTAAATGAGGGACTGTCCCTCAGACAAGGGGTTATTTTGCTGCTGTAGAAAAAGAAAAACTTAGCCTTTTTAACTTAAAAGGGAGAAATTCATTTAAGGTTCATCATAACAAAGGACAAATATGGCTGTATTTTCACATCAAAAACTACTCTGTGAACAGACTTACCTGTGCAGTTTGGAAAGTTTTAAGGTCTGGCATCCACTAGATATATAAAAGTTACATGCATTTTGTGTTTCAGAAAGATAAATCGTTTTTGGATTTTGATGGGCATTTTTTTTCCTTCCTGCAGAAGGTGTAAAAACAAACACCTGAATTGCATTTGATACTGTCCACTCAGTTACTACCTTTAACTCACCTATAGATGTGTAGATATCTATTGTCCATGCCAATCAAGTACAATCAATACAATACAAACCAGTTGTTACCTGAGAGGGAGCATCTCAAAGTTGTATCCCAACTTAGTTTATTTTTACACCTTCTGCAGGAATGAAAAAAAATGCCCATTAAAATCCAAAAAAGATTTTACCTTTCTGATATACAAAATACATTTAACTTTTATATATCTAGTGGATGCCAGGCCTTAAAACTTTCCAAACTGCTCAGGTAAGTCTGTACGCAGTGTAGTTTTTGAGGTGAAAATACGGCCATATTTGTCCATTTGTTATAATAAACCTTAATATATTTTGAACAACTTTTCTAAAAGAGGGGTCCTCTTATTTTCAATAATAAAGAAGATTGAAGTCCATGAGTATTCTAAAATTGATGGATCTGTTTTGACGATATAATACCAGATAGATGTATTGTTCTTTGGGAAAAGTTTCCACAAACAATGTAAACATGTGCCCTTTTGTACTTAAAAAGTTGTTTTAAACAAAACAAAAAAAATATCACTTGAAATTTACCCCTCATGAAAATTGAATGGGATAGTCATTACTTTTAGGGGCTATCCCTCATTTGAAAGGTTGTTCTCAACCAATAGGAGTTTGGTTCCTTGGAAAATGCTGATTTTCAGAGTGATTAATCTAGCAGACTTAGTTCATTCACTAAATAAAATGCTCCGCTGGGGCGCAGCTTGATACGACCGCAGAGGTCAAACCCTGAACAGTTGGGGCAAGTATGGACACAACATTCAAGCTTGATACAGCACTGAATTTGGATTGTAATTAAATATTTGACACAGCATAGGTTTCTGACACAGAATGAAAGTGGTCTAAGAACTTATAATTTTTTAATTTACCTATTCATATATGTGATGGACTGTGAAACTCAGATCAGGAGATTGGGAAATTTTGGTCAGGAGATTAGGACTCAGATCAGGAGGTTTTTAATCGACATAAATTTTGTCGTAAATGTAGCCGTGTGCTGTAAAAATGGTCTTTTAAAGTATGTTTTCTTCAACTTTCCATCCAATTTATTATGTTTATAGTACCCTTGTACTTATAAAGTTTCTCCATCTTTATATTTTACATGTTCAATCTAACATTTTTTTTTTTTTCAGTATGTTCTTTAAATTTTTTACTTCATATTCTATAACACATTTATTGCAACCAGAACATTTGTTTAACTATCTGCAAATAGCTTTTGTTTGCATACTCAGAAAATCATGCTAACTGTTAAACAAGGGTCATAGTTATTATATAAATTTCAATTTAAGCCTTGAAAGGAAGTATAGAATCCTCAAATAATTTTCAAATTATTATTTTTTTATTTGTCCTAAGACATTTAAAATCATTTATTTACCATCCTTTTATGATTATTTGTTCAATTTATATTTTATTTATATTCTTTTAAAAATTTTCATTATTAAAAGGAAAGTAACTTAAAACAGGATAAATCAAGGGAAGTAACCAAATAAATACACAGTTTTTGTTACACAACGGCAGTTAGCCTGAGGTAAAAAATCGTTGATTACCAGTATGTTTGACACCCAAGCTGACAAGTGAAGCCATATAATTATGCATGTTAATTGATTTACAGGTAAAATATAACTTCAGGTAATGTGAGTTACACCAGATGCCTGAGATGATATGTTGGGCAGAAATTTTTCATTCATGAAAAATTTCATACACGGGATTATAATTTTCCTCTTCAACCGGAGGTCGGGAGGAGACTCCTGAAAACAGGATTATTGTACTCCTGTCGGGAGGTTCACATGTATGCTATTCAAACCATATCATTATTATTTGCTTTTATATATAATCAGAAATAACCAATTTAAAATGGAAAATTTTAAAGAAAAAAAAGGAAAAAAAAATCCCCCCCCCCAAATTTTTTGAACCCCCTTATGATTCATCGCCCCCACAATCAATCCCAGCTTTCCCTTTGTGGTATGGTACCTTGCAGTACAATTTTAGAGAGATCCATTCACTTGAACACAAGTTATTGTCTGGAAACTAGAAAAATGCTTGTTTTTTTGTCCCTTTTTGTCCCCTAATTCCTAAACGTTTAGGGCAATTACCCCCAAACTCCAACCCAGCTTTCCCTTTGTGATATGGAACCTTGCAGTACAATTTCATAAAGATCCATACACTAACACACAAGTTATTGTCCTGAAACTAGAAAAATGCTTGTTTTTTGCCCCTTTTTGTCCCCAAATTTGGAGGAAATTACCCCCAAAAATCAATCCCAGTATTCCCTTTGTGATATGGAATCTTGTGATACAATGTCAGAGAGATCCATACACTAACACACAAGTTATTGTCATGAAACTAGAAAAATGCTTGTTTTTTGCCCCTTTTTGGCCCCTAATTCCTAAAATTTGGAGGCAATTACCCCCAAAATCAATCCCAGCATTCCCTTTGTGATATGGAACCTTGTGGTACAATGTCAGAGAGATCCATATACTTACACACAAGTTATGTCTGGAAGTTACAAAAATGCTTATTTTTGGCCCCTTTTTGGCCCCTAATTCCTTAACTGTTAGTACCATAACCCCCAAAATCAATCCCCACCTTCCTTTTGTGGTATTGAACCTTATGGTAAAATTTCATTGAGATCCATTCACTTAAACTAAAGTTAGAGTGCGAAAACTAATGTGTATTCGGACGACGACGCCGGACGACGACGACGACGCCGGACGACGACGACGACGCCGACGCCAACGTCATACCAATATACGACCACAAAAATTTTTTTGCGGTCGTATAAAAAGTTGCTAACCAAAATTAAAGTTGCTGCTATAAAAATTATTTGATGTAAACAAATGCACTTTTCAATCATGTCCATGTTTTTGCAATTTTCAAAAATTAAGATTTGCACTGAAAATTTATATTCCATTTGGACTGTCATGACTATAATACCCCAAATGGATAATCCCTGTTTAGGAAAAGGATTGGCCAAATCATAGCAGAATGAACAAATAAGTAACTCAAGTTATACATGGAATGGCAATTATATAAGTTTCAAAAATAAAATAATGTTATGTAAAAAAAAAAAACAGATAAGAATTAAAATATTTTTGATTTGCCTGTAGCAAGGACGCATAATTAGTATATACTTCCATGCCTTTAGCATGTGTTTAGTCATAAAATGATATGCGACAACGAGAGGGAATTTGAAAAAAGTTTACGAATCAATGAAAATAAATCTCATGGCTACCTATTGTTTTAAATATTTGTACATTGCATTAACATCGACATTTTCTATTGAACAGTTCCTGTTCATTTTCCCCCATTTCAACCGATTTTTGATTATTATAGAAAAAAATCACAATGAACATTACCTCCATGTGTTCCGCCATTTGCTATTGTGCGTGTGAGCACATGGTTGTTTAAAACGTCACCCAAATCTGAGTAGACTGTTCCTGTTGTGAACAAGCAGGGATTCAGACAAAAATGAATAAAGGTATGATTTTATCAAATGAATGTGGACGTGTTCTTCTTCAGTTTCAGAAAACCATCAACATACTGATGTTAACTTTCCGGCGCATGCCTGGTAAATGTTTCAAAAATTTATAATTTATTAAGTACTGTTAAACATAGATAGGGGGGTATAACCTTTATCGGGACTCCGGGATCGGGTGTTTCAGTTAAACTTGGGATTTCGGGATTGATCCTTTCGGGATCCGGGAATTCTTTTTTCGAATTTCGGGATGTAGGGATTTAAATTTTTTTAAATTCGGGACCTCCCCCCCCCCCCCCCCCCCCCCCCCCCCCCCCCCTATAGATACACCTTATCGCTATTTGTCCGCCATTAGTGGACATCACACAAGTTCCCGTAAAATTTTGACGTCATAATAGAAAATGTCTGACGCCACAATGGAAAAGTGATTGTTGTATGACGTCAAAAGTTCGAGCGGGACAGATTCTCGGGTCAAGCGGGAATAGCGATAAGGTGTATTGACAAATTGTGTTTTCCAAATTTTTGTTATTTTGATGTATTTGTTATATTATCAATTTTTACAATTTTTCTTTGTTTTTAGATTTTTCGTTTTTATTTAATTTTTTCTAATATTTAATTTTTTATTTAATTTTTTAGTTTAAGATAAACATGATTGCCTGTTTACTGAGTCAGGTGTGGATAGGTATCAAGGAGCACATCGTGAGTGAGTGCACCCTTGAAGGTTTCTGTAGTGGTGTTTTTGGTTATGTCGGAGGATAATTTGTTCCAGTCTTGAATGGTTTGACAAAAAAAAAGAAAATTTGTAGCTGTCTTTGTTACATTGGATTTGTCGGTAGGCATCTTTATTGGTGGATCTTGTATTGGACTGACTCTGCTGTAATAAATTTTGAGATGGTATGGCAATCTTTTCATTTATAATTTTGTGGGAAATTATTAGCCTTGTTCTTAGTCGGCGTTCTTGTAATGTTTGCCATTTCATGGTGTCTAGCATCTCAGACACACTGCTGGTGTTGTGATGTCTGTTACATGCATACCTTGCCGCTCGTCTCTGTACCGTTTATCTAATGATCTTATGTTTTCAATTGTGTATGGGTCCCATACAGTACAACAGTATTCTAATTTGGGTCTTATAAGTGTTTGGTATGCTCTTTCTTAAATTTTTTGTGGCTGGACTTTGAGATTTCTTCTGATAAAACATAAAGATTTATTTGCTTTAGCGGCTGTTTGTTGGATGTGGGTGTTCCATTTTAGATCTGAGGAAATTGTGATACCGGCCTAAATATTTTGCATGTTTTACTGATTCTAAGATGTGTCCATATACATGTTGTAGTAAAAGTGGATGGGATTTCTTTTGGTTGTTATGTTCATGATGTTGCATTTGTCTGGGTGGAAAGACATGAGCCAGTCTTGCTCCCATTGTATGGCAGCTTCTAGATCTTCTTGAAGCTTGAGGCAGTCATTTTGAGATTTGTCTGTAAATTATACTGTCGTCTGCGAAGAGTCTGATTTTGCTATGTTGGATTCATTCTGTTCATTGTATCATTGCTACTCTAATTGTTTGTAACTGCGCAACGCGTTGCTGGGGACGGCATATGAATACCGGGCGTTCGTTCGTCTGTCTATCTGCCCGTCTTTCCTGTCTTGTAAGCGATTTCCGACCTTTGCCAGATTGGTTAAGAAAGTTCTATGTCAGCAATGTGTCTCGAACTTGACATGTTCGAAAATCATTGCCGATCAACTATTTTTAAAGAAGGTATGCCTCTTGGTAACTTTCATTTTAAGCGCCCTCTACATTTCTTACAGGATTTCAATGCCGTTATTTTATATTCAAAGGTTTGTATCAGCAATGTCTTGGGCATGTCCGAAAATCAGTAGCGATCGATTAACTATGTTTACATGAATAAATTAGTCCCTTTGAAATGTAATTATATTGAACAGTTGCGGATCAAGGAGGCATATATCCCCTTTGATCGCCAATACACGAAAAAATCGAAAGTTTCTCATAATTTCAATGATATGATTTTTTTAGCATAAAACGGTTAAAAAATGGAACTTTATTTCCGATGTACAAAAAAAAAAAGGGGGGACACAAAATGCTAACACTATAAAATTACTATAACTCCAACCTCTCGAAAATTATAGAAGATTTTAAAAGAACTTGGGAGATAACGTACTAGTCCTTAAATTCTAAATTCTCAAAATCTACTGCCTGATCTGCGAATTGTTCATAGAAGACATGATGATTTGAAAGAGAGAGCAAAGATCTAAAATTCACAGTTTACTATATATCTTATATTAGAAGGCAAGTATTCAATGTTGTGGTACATATTAACTTGATTCGCTGTATGTTTCAAATAGACTTTTTCGGTCAATCCATTTTGCTGTTAGATAATTTATATGTATTAAATGGAACAATCACTGAAATATCAAAGGAAATATTCAAATTGAGCAAGAGTCCATCAAGGAGGTGCCTTAAGCGCTGACTTATACACGAGAAATCCTCTACTAAACATTCTAAGTACATCAGCATTAATTAGGTGGCATAGTCGGAAACATCAACATGTGCCCCTATACCAGTTCAGTTTCTTGTATATTCCTCCATTAATTGTGGAGCACTACCCATAGGGTATAATTGTAGCAACTATATACACCTTAGAACATAAGGAAACATTTAATTATGTACAGATGACTGAATTTAGGCAATAATAATTACTAAATAATTAATATCATAACTAATTCATAGGATTGTCATCATAAAATTTTGAAAATAATATTCATAATGTGCTGAGGTGTAAGAATAAGTTAAGTAAGAACTGGATATATTTACAAATAAGAATTTAGAATTTAAGTGGTCTTAAATTAAACTTTCTTATAATTGTTAGTTAAAGGTGCTATACGTACATCAGAATTTATAATGAGAAGGTTATTTTATAAGACTTATATAAAAGGGTTGGGGTTTAGAACAATTCATCATATATACATAAGTTTTCCTTCACAGTTTAAAGTTACCTTATTTCGGATCTTATCATTATTCTTTAAAGGTAACTGGATATATCTTAAAACTTTGCAAAATTTTTTATTTAATTTAGGTCCTAATAAGTCATAAAATAGTAAGATGGTAAAGTAGGGAACTATTTTATTTTAAAAAAGTTTACTTATACTGTACTTGTGTTCAAGTTTTTTTTATCCTTTTTGTGCGCAGTCTGTGCATCTCGTAGCACATATTTCTAGCCAGAGTTTCAATGTTTTCATACACAGTTGAGTAACAGTTTATGTCCTTGCTAGTACAGTCCATTATGAGCTGCAGTAAATTCCCTTCTTGTATGATCTTCTTGTATGTTGAGGTATCAATTTCATCCATTGTCTGTTCTATTTTTGAGCAATATTTAGATCTTATTTGCTCCAATTCCTTGCAGCGTAGAATAAAATGTTCTAGATCTTCATTTTCCTGTTGACAGATTGTACATATCGGGTTAACTTTCGGATCAAACTTAGATCTTTTGGCTTGTAATATGTACGTTTGAGTACTTATTCTTGCTTTTATTTCTCCTGCCTTTACATCTTTACTATTGTTTTTTAAGCTTTTCCGTGCATATATTGTTTTGTATCTCTATGTATTTAAGTGATGTTTTTCCATTTTTTCATAATGACATTCATTTTTCCAGTATTCCTTGATCTTTATTCCTACTAGTCTTTTCCATTCGATTTTCTTAAGTGGTTTTTCTATGTAGTAACTACTAGATTTCAAATTGTATTTTGATAGAGTTTTTTCCACTCTGTTGATAAAGTCTTTTCCTCTTTGGTCTGAGAATGCTATTTGTCGACGCAGAATTTCACATTCTATGGTTCCTGAATTTCGAACAATATTCATGAAGAAGGTAAGTAGATTTTTGTCTAATGTGATGGCAATAGGTTCTGATCCTACCAGGGTATAGACAGCCATATTTGCTGTATTATTTGGAAGCCCTTGAATTTATCGGAGGATTTTTCTCTCTGCCAGTTCTAGCATATCCTTTTCTTTTGCAAGTAAGTTCATCACCTCAAGTCCGTAGATGCTTCTTGGTACTGCATATGTTCTCCATAGCTTGTATGCGACCATGGGTGAGAATCCCCTTCAGACATGTAAACCGGCTCCGAGAAGGCTGTATATTGTTGCCCTGCCAGTTCTTATTCTTTCAGAGATATTTGCCCGGTTTTGCTCGTTTCTTTTGATACCTAGATGTTTGGTTTCATTGGTTACTAGTATATTGATGTCATCGTCTTCGAATTGCAGTGTTGTTATGTTTGAGCCTTTTGCATTATATAAAACAGCTTCAGATTTAGTTGGATTGATTTTAACTAGATCTCTGCTTGTATGGTGCTGTACTATGTCTAATATTCCTTGTGCGTCTGCAGTACTATTTGCCAGGACAGCAATGTCATCGGCACATGTGGGTGCAGGGACTTGTATATTACCAATACATGCTCCAAGTCCACTTTTTAAAATGCCATCCAGTATGACGTTGTTGTAGCATTTATATAGCGTTGTAGATAGTTTTGCTCCTTGTTGAATTCCTTGTAACACCATTACATCTTCTGTACATTGACCTTCCCATTTAACCTTAATGCTCATGCCTTTATACAAGTTTCTCAGTAGTATCCTGAGTTTTCCTTTTATTCCATAATGGTACAACTTGTTGAATAGTATTTCATGGTTTAGTTTGTCAAATGCTTTTTCTGCATCAAGAGTTATTAAAATCATCAGTATCTTTAATTTCTTACATTCTTCGATTGCTTCTGATGTGAGGAAAGCTGCGCATAGTGATGATACTCCTTCTGTAAAGCCTCTTTGCAGGGAGTTTTGTATGTTATTAAATACAGAGTCAACTCTATCCTTCAGTATACTTTGTAATATTTTTGCAAAGGTTTTAGTCACAGTTATTCCTCTATAGCTAGATGGTAATGTTTTGTCTTTTTCTTTCTTTAGGATT